AAAGATAAATATAGATAAAGTAGAATTAAAATAGAATAGAAAGTGTTCGAGTTAGAGGGTCAAATAAAGGTGAACAGATGTGTTTTTAGTCGTTTCTTGAAGATGGTTAAGGACTCAGCTGCTCGGATTGAGTTGGGCAGGTCATTTCACCAGGAGGGAACATTTAATTTAAATGTCCGTGAAAGTGATTTTGTGCCTCTTTGAGATGGCACAATAATACGCCGTTCACTTGCAGAACGCAAGCTTCTAGAGGCACATAACTCTGAAGTAATGAATTTAGGTAAATGGGTGCAGAGCCAGTGGTGGTTTTGTAGGCAAACATTAATGCCTTGAATTTTATGTGAGCAGCTACTGGTAGCCAGTGCAAACTGATGAACAGAGGTGTGACATGCACTCTTTTCAGCTCGTTAAAGACTAATCTTGCAGCTGCATTCTGGATTAGTTGTAGAGGTTTGATAGAACTGGCTGGAAGTCCTGCTAAGCAAGCATCGCAATAATCCAGCCTGGACAGAACAAGAGCTTGAACAAGGAGTTGTGTTGCATGTTCTGAAAGAAAGGGCCTGATCTTCTTAATGTATGTATAAAGCAAACCTGCAGGACATGCCGTTTTAGCAACATGGTCTGAGAAATTCAGCTGATCATCAATCACAACTCCAAGGTTTCTGGCTGTCTTTGAAGGAGTTATGGTTGATGCGCCGAGCTGGATGCTGAAATTGTGATGGGTTTGTTGAAACCACAAGCAGTTCTGTCTTGGCTAGTTTGAGTTGAAGGTGATGGTCTTTCATCCAGCATGAAATGTCTGTTAGACAAGCTGAGATGCGAGTAGCTATCGTCGGATCATCAGGATGGAATGAGAGGTAGAGTTGAGTGTCAATAGCATAGCAGTGATATGAAAAGCCATGTTTCTGAATGACAGAACCTAGTGATACAATTTAGACAGAGAAGAGAAGTGGTCCAAGAACTGAGCCCTGAGGCACCCCAGTAGCTAGATGTTGCGACTTGGACACCTCACCTCTCCAAGATACCATGAAGGACCAACCTGAGAGGTAAGACTCAAACCACTGGAATGCGGTTCCTTAGATGTCCTTTGCCAATAGGCATTATATATAAATTAATTTAATCGTAAAAAATTTAATTTATATATAAATTACAATTACACGACCCTACTATTTACACAAAAAGTGTGCCTATACATACATGCATGCCTACATGCCTATTTAATTTATTATCTCTCTCTCTCTCTCTCTCTCTCTCTCTCTCATCAGCCAATAACCAATATGGAACCGATATAATATGCATTCCTAGTTCTATAGGAGTATTTGCATGCCTTATTAATGTAGAATATATAATATTAATATATAACAGCATGGCTCATTAATATTTAACAAGTGGTATAGGTGTGTCATTTTGAAAATGGCTTCGAACTCAGATCATCCAATTAGAACAGACTTAGATCTCTTCCATTTATAATTCATCACAGTCCTAGTTTGACTCCATGTGATAATAAGCTGACGTGACTCACTGTAGTCTTAGCAAAGGTGGAGGTCAGACTCATTGTCTTTCTTCTCACTCAGTGAAGGTGGTGGTGCATCTGCTCCAGGTGTACTGGATTGTTAAGGAAGACGGGCTCTGGACACTCGTTAGTTTGGGTCTCCAACAGAGAGGACAGTGAACACCTACACTGCTGCCTTCTGAGACTGAGAGTCAATTACATCCGCGTATGTAAGACTCTCGATTCACTGTCATCCGATCTGCATAGAGAAACGGCCAAAGTCTTCAAGACTTAATGTGAAAAATAATAATAAAAGGCAAATATTAAAATTATATAAGCCTACTGTTTTGACTGATGTCAAAATTTTAAAAATAATAAAAATATACTTATATATTAAAATTAGATGCTTTTTTTATTTAAAAAATAATAACATTTTGTGTGTATATATACACACACATTTAATTTCACTGATTTCATTTCAACTCATTGTAAATTAAGCACATGAGTGGATTGTGACTATTCATCTGCATTATTATTAGATCCAAAGCGAAGCACAAGCAGTGTATGCTTTTACACACATCTGTGCACGTTTACATTGGGAAGAACTGGCCTAATGAACCTAATTAAGTGACAGGAGGCTTGTGTTAGCGCGTGCCTGTAGGGTTCAGTTCAGTCGATCACGCGTCTCCTGACAGCTACACCAGCAGCACTGAAAAGCTCATTTATTTAATGATAGTTTTGCCTCTCCC